TGGTGCTGGGGGATTGAACCGCGGTCCCTGATGCTTTGCCAAGCTAGTTCCAAGTAGGTGCTTTAGACCACTGAGCCATCTCTCCAGCCCCCTTTCAGTATTTTGTAAACAGATGTCCTGTATTTAACTAAAGAAAATATTCACGTTTTTCCCCCCTCAATAGATTCTACTTCAGAAGTGTCAAATGAAGAACTCAGGCAACGTCTTCAGGAAACCTTAGAGGTATGTCCCCTGGCTAATCCACAAGTGCTCAGGTGAATGAGGTCTGCTGATGGTTGCTTTAAATCATACCAAAACTGTGTAGAAATGCGATCCTGGCTTTTCAGATATTCTCCTTTGTCTTTGTTAGGTGCCAAGGACAAGCCTGGGGCTTCAAGCCTGGGTTCTGCTTCTAAACTGTCCCTCACCCTCTGTCTTTTCTTTTCTTCTTCTTTTTTTTTTTTTTTTTGGCAGAATCGGGGATTGAACTCAGACCCTTGCGCTTGCCAGGGAAGTGCTTATTCTACTGAGCCATCTCCCTGGTCCCTACCCTCTGTCTTTTCAACACTCCTATTTCTCCTGTGCAGCATCTCTTGGAAGGCTGCTCTGTCACTGTGCCCTGCTTTATGTCACCACGCTGCCCTTGGACTCCTACTTCTCTGCTGTCCTCCTACTTGGTGTTTTCTCCCAGCTCTTTGCCATATCAGTCTGTATTTCTCGCCAGACATGACAAGTTGTGGCTCCCTCAGGGGGTTTGAGGCCTGATGCCTGGGGGGCTGTGCGGCTCGCTCCTTTGGGAAACAAGAAGCCCAGGTTGGTGTGCCATTGTGAGTCTTCTTGTCAGAGTGACTGTTGACACAATTCTACAAACTGGTGGCCTAACATGACAGAAATGCGTTGCCTCTCAGTTCTAGAGGCCACGACCTTGAGTCGAGCTTTGGGCAGGCTCTGCGCCTCCGAAGGCTCTCGCTGCTGCCGGTGGCTGCCGCGGCCCTTGCTGTGCATCCTGTGATGGGTGCAGTGTAAGTTTTGTCTGCCCTGTCTCTCATGACTTCTGAAACTGAGTTTAAAAGGCTTTCGTCTCTAATTTAAAATGGTTTTTGTCCCTAATTTTACAAAGACCTTAGTCATTGGCTATTGTGGCTTTCCTCATGGCAGCCCACCCTGTGTCCTTCAGGGTGTACTTTGTGTGTGTGTGTGTGTGGAACCGGGGATTGAACTCAGGACCCTGCATTTGCCAGGCAAGCACTTACTCTACTGAGCTATCTCTCTGGCCCCTGGGTGTACTTTTATCTGCTTTTCTCTTTTACTTAGCTCAAATTTGCTCTGTGGAGCCAACTTATAGCAGTCTTTACTTTTACTTTTTTAAACAAATTTTGCAATAAATAAATAAATAAACAAATGCATAAACTGACTCCAGTCATTAGATCAGGCTCAACCCTGCTCACCATGACCTCATCATGACTTGATCGCATCTATTAAATGAATATTAACTTGGCTTGCAGTTGTTGCTGTACCCGAGGATGCCTGTTTACTTGCCGTCTCTATGTAATTTAGAATGTAAACCAGTGTAGGCCAGGGAGATAGCTCAGTAGAATAAGTGTTTGCCTGGCAAGCGCAGGGTCCTGAGTTCAATCCCCGGTACTGCAAAAACAAAACAAAACAAACGAACCAAAAAACCCAAAAAGCTGGATTTAGGGATATGTTTGTATAATAACCAGCCGAGGGGCTGGTGAGATGGCTCAGTGGTCTAAAGCACCTACTTAGAACAAGCTAAACTAAGCAAAACACAGGGACCACGGTTCAATCCCCCAGCGCCACATGCCAGCCAGCCCCGCCCCCTGGTGGGCTGAGCTGGCCACACACACACACAAAAATAAATAAATAAATAAATAAATAAATAAATATTAAAAAAAAAAAAATAACCAGCCGAGTCTCAGCCAATCAGAGCAGCTGCCCAATCATACCAGGCTCAGACTTTATTGAGGGCTGAGCTGTAGCTAACAGTCTAGATGCTTCTGCTTTTTGTCTATGAATGCTGCCTGTACAGTGGGGCTTTCAGCCTCTTCCACTCCAGAGGGTGCCAAATCTGAAAATCATTATTTGCTCAATTAAACTTTTTAAAAAAATTTTATTATCTGTCGGGGACCTATTGAACACAGGTCCCTGCGCTTGCTAGGGAAGTGCTTATTCCACTGAGCCATCTCCCCGGCCCCTATCTGTCTTTTTGAGACAGGGTTTCACTATCCTGTTCAGGCTGGTCTTGAACTCACAGTGCTCCTCCTGTGTAAATTTAGTACAGGGTCTCAGTATACAGATCAGACTCGTAGTGACCCTCCTATTTTCAGCCTCCCAAGCATTGGGATTACAGGTGTGCGTCACCACGCCCAGTCTCAATCGCAGTCTCAGCATCCCCTGGGGGTGGGACTGGCACTGGCAGGCTGGGGATTGAACCCCTCTGCTGTGCTCTGCCTAAGCAGGCGCTTTAGTCCACTGAGCTATCTGGCCAGCTCTTAAACTGTTACACTTTAATTGCCTAAAGTTGTAATTTTTAAAAACACATCTGCTAAGACCTTTCTTCAAATAAGGGCATTTTCATAGTAATGGGTGTGAGGATGTGAATCTATCTTTCCGGGACACATTTCATACCACAGCTGTTACTGTAATAGTATAGTTGGCTACAAGCTTATTTTATGTGGCCTGAAGGGTTTTTTGCATATTATTAGCCAACATGGCTTATACATACAAAAGCAAGATTTGGGCCTTCAATTAGAACTGGTACTTGGTAGGGAAACTCTCACCTTCAGCCTGACTGATTTTCTTTTTTAAAAAATCTTTTATTGGGGGCTGGAGAGATGGCTCAGTGGTCTAAAGCACCTACTTAGAACAAGCTTAGCAAAGCCTCGGGGACCGCGGTTCAATCCCCCAGCACCACATGCCAGCCAGCCCCGCCCCCTGGTGGGCTGAGCTGGCCACACACACACACCACACACTCTCTCTCTCTCTCTCTCTCTCTCTCTCTCTCTCTCTCTCTCAAATAAATAAAAAAAAAATCTTTTATTTATTTATTTGGTATAGGGTCTTTCTATGCAGCTTGGACTCATAGCGATCCTCCTGTCTCAGCCTCCCCAGCACTGGGACTACAGGCATGTGCCACCACAGTTTCGGTGGCCAGTATGGCACGTGGTATCAGGGATTGAACCCGGGATCCCTGAGTTTGCCAGGCAGGCACTTAGACCACCAGGCTATCTCCCCAGCCCCTTGACTGATTTTCTTACAAAATCTGGGGGAAATACCTCCTATCTCATGCTAAAATTTGCTCATACTCTTCTGCATAAGTAAACCTTGCTTTGTTGAGATTTCTTTCTTTTCTTTTCTTTTTCTTTTTTTGTACTGGGAATTGAACTCTGAACCTTTTGCTTGCAAGGCAAGCGCTTACACCACCAAGCTATCTCTCCAGCTCTTGTTGAGATTTCTTGATATCTGGGTGCTGCAGTATATACACCGACCAATTGAGTCTGAGGAAGAATTACCAACAATTTGACACCCTTAGGGTGGGTACTCTGGCCAGGAGGTGACACCCTGACAGCCCCCTGGCCGTGGCTCTGGCATGAGAGCCTGCAGCCTGGCCTAAGAGCCCAGTTGAGACTTCTCAACCACAGAAAATGAGTAACCAGGCAACTCTGCATGGCTGTAGGTCCTAATCCCTGTAATTCTCTCAAGAGCATAAGAAAGCAGAAAAAGAGGCTGGGGAGATGGCTCAGTAGAATAAGCACTTGCCTGGCAAGCACAAGGACCTGAGTTCAATCCCCAGTTCCGCCAAAAAAAAAGAAAAGAAACATCACATTTAAAGGAAAACCCGGGAGAAGTGACTTTCTTAGGCGTGCTGGGAAGCCGAAGCTTTGCCCGCAGCGGGAAACGCACCAATTTATCCGCACACCACCTCAACCAGAGAAGAAGATGCTAATTAAAGTGAAGACACTGACCGGAAAGGAGATTGACATTGACATTGAACCCACAGACAAGGTGGAGCGAATCAAGGAGCGTGTCAAGGAGAAAGAGGGAATCCCGCCACAACAGCAGCGGCTCATCTATAGCGGCAAACAGATGAATGATGAGA